TATGTGGCCAGCAAAAAGGAAAGATTGTTTCCATTCAATGTAAATATCTGATGTCCTCCTGTTTTTGCTCTATGGCAAGCAATGGGATAGTATTGGGCTCTACCTGATGACAAGGACATAGGTTACTCGGTGCCAGAATGGCTACTTCTGACCATCAATTTGTATCCAGTCGAGGTCCATTGCAAACTTCCTCATCCTCAGTTGGTGCATTTAATTTGGAGTGTTAGAAACAATGTTGTGCAAGCTAGAGAACAGATCTTCAATATCGAGGTGTTTTGTTTCATTGCAGCGATCAGAGGAGATGGAGGCAATATTTGTATGGACTTGCTCTTTGTCTGTCTAAATGAAAACTGATAATAGCCTCAAGGGGTTCCACTGCTGAATATGTTGCTGAACAAAGGTTCCTTTGTCAGGTTTACATAATTTGTTTTATCTAAATGGACTATAAGAGACAATGAATTAGCATGGCTATGTTTGAATCAGGGTACTTAGCCATTGTTAGAAACTTTTGTTAAGGCTATAAACCGTCAACAGAATAAACTCTTTCAACTGTCATCTTCATTCAACCTCATAGTATCGTTTCTTCATTAACAATACAACACACGTTCATACTTATAAAGCCATTTGATGTGTTTCCTTATACTATTTTGTGCTACCTACAGACTATTCAGTTTATCTTGAAAGGAACAGATGCCCTATTATCCAATCACTTACCTCCAAACTCCAAAGATTTTCTTATCTGTTTGATTAAACATTTTGGATTGGCCATGCATTCCTCATAGAGCACAAAAAGATCAATCATGTCACCCTAATAGAATAAAAAATCAATCATATCACCCTAATATGGTTGCCCAATTTTAAAAGGTCCATAGAAATATTTCATGTAAAAATCATGGTCATGTCTCTATCACTGATCTGAACAGTGGTGACAGGGGCCGATTGACCGAATGATTCATGTAAAAATCATGGTCATATCTCTGTCATTCATCAATCGTATTGGACTTTGCTACTAGATTCTTCTGGTTAAAATAATTCCAGTTTAAATACCTTTTGTTCAGGTTTCCTTGTGGGCTTCTGTCTGATTCTATTCCGCACTTGTGCAGAAAAAACTCCCGCAGCACTCAGCTGTACTCAGCAGCCTCGCTCTCAAGGTCAATAAGCGCGTCCAAGTGCTCAGAGATATTTAGGAAATTCAAAAGCTAATCTCGTAATTTGTTGTCCAGCTAGAGTTTGAAGTGGCGGTGGTGGTGCTTGCACAATGATCTTTTCACTCAACTCTGTTTTGGGAGTTGGAGTCAGTAGCCACATCTTATTAATCTGATCGCTCTCCATTGTTGTTGCCTAGATTCATGCACTGAATGTACATATATAGCAGTAACTTTTTGTTGAGGGCCAGCTATTTGTTCTTATTCTCAGCACTAAGTTCGAGGTTGGAGGGTGGCATATTGATCGAGCTGACATGCAGGCTTCGTGCATATCATTCAGCGTTAGGGGAACACTGCCAACCTCCTTCAAGCATCACTTCCTTGATGTGTCGATGAGGTGAGGACCAAGGACCATCTTCTTTTATTTATTTGTTTCTGACATTCTTTCTTGTTCTACTATATTTATCCTGTCAAGTCCCTTCCAACTGATTCAGTTCATTTTTTGTATAAAATGTTCACTGTCCAATATATATTTTAGGTGACTATAATAGTAAGTACCTTGTTTAGGTGCCTTAAGTCAGTTTGGTTCACAAACTTTTCTAGCAATGCTGCCCTGTTCCACTATGCTTTTGTTCTCACTGGTTGGCTGATATAATTCATGTATTAATGGTTCGAGAAATTCATGTATGAATGATAATTGATTAAAAAGGAATCAGATGCTAACTAATTTGTGCTAATCCGAAAACAGAGCACTATATGGTTGGAAGTTTTGATCCAAGAACTGTCCCTGATGAAGGCTCAAGCGAAATGTCTGTCTGGTCCTATCTGCCCTTCATGCCGACGCAAGACTGATCGAGGCCAAGGCGATATCAGGGGCACCAGCTGATCAGCCGAGGCAGATGCAACAGTACACGACGTGGGGTGATGTCCTCTCCTGGGTCATTTTGTTGTGGCTTCACGCGGTGGCAAATGAGATGCTGAAGGGCCAAAAGCTTTATGAAACAGATGTGAGGTACAATGAAGAAGCTAGCAATCTAAAAAATAAGATAGTGCATATATTTTTCTAGATCTTTTGAAATTCATAGAAAATAAATATGCCTCCAAATGACATGAGACTAACTTTGTTCAGTTGATGTTGTCATTAACATGTTAAAAATATGTTCACTCATGTTTTTCTCCAGGTCAGAGCTCTTTCATCATTGGGGATGTCTACTATCATTCCGGTATGTCTCTAAGGGAGCTTCTTTATCCTGAATCCAGCAAGCTTATTACTGATTTTATCTATATGCCTGCTTGTATTAGGGTAATTCACAAGTTTCACTACCAAACATTTAAATTGGGCACCAATTAAAAGTTAGAAGTTGGTATATAATATGGTAGAGAAGGAGGATTATTTATGACTAGTCCTACCCATATTATTTGTCTTTGAAAAGGTTGCATGTCGATGCAATAAAAAAGAAGAACGCGACTCACAAATAGAATCAATAGAAGCAGATTCAAAGAGAGATATTTTGACACACCCATCTATTTTAACATTAAGCTCTATTTCTATAACTGGTTAATGCAAGGGACTGGCTTTCTTTTTCTTGCAGATACTCATTGAGATCATGAATTTGTTTAAGATGTTGGACTCTTTTGCCACTAGAGTTCTGGGTTGTTTTCTGTAGGAAATTGGAAAACTCTGAGCATACATTTTAATTTGCAATGAACTGCTGATAGTGAATGGTGGTGGTATAGAATATTCTGCAAAATATTTGTGTTTATGAACCTCTAAATGTGTACTGATATGTGTGTAAAACACATGCAACAATCATGGCTTCGACCGTTTAATTACATGTCATGATCTGCTCAAATTATCTCAGCCAGTAACATACTTCAGAGAAATGCCTTAAGTCAAAATTCTCGTTTGAAAGTGCGCAGTTGCAACCCACGTATTCATCAGAATGACTCAATAGGGGACTCATAGTCACTTGTTGCAGCCTGAAGGCAAGCCCCTGTTCCATAGTCCACACCCTGCAATGATTGATGACAACCAATATTTTGCCAAGAGTAAATTACACCCACGGTCCCTAAACTATTACACGATTCTTATCCAGGTCCCGAAACTATAAAATTGCATATCTAGGTCCCTACACTACTTTAGGTATACCATCCTTGTCATGTGGGGGAAGACCTACACCAGGAGACGCCGAGCCAGAGATGTGCGCCGGGCAGCAGAACGTGCGGGCGCACGCAGGGACGCAGAACGCGCGAGGGTCGCGGGCTCGGTGCATGCAACCGAGGAGGAGGCAATCAGCGCAAGTGGCTGAAGTTGGAAAGATATTCCTATTTTTAGTTGTTAAGATATTATTTGCTATCTTAGGTTAGTTCCTTATATTGAGGAGTTTGTTTCCTCCGTTGGTTAGGGCCGATGGCTATATATTCCCTGTAAACTGAAAGATTGGATCAAGCAAGATCATTTACCTGCTCTCCTACCTCTCGCTCTCAAGCCCGATCAGCAGTGAGGGGAATAACCTCCGCATCGGAAGATCACGGCCGGAGATTACGAACTCCGTAGTCGAGGGCCGCCTACCCTAGATCATAAGGCCCTTGACAATCCCGGTCAAAAACAGCCACGTCACAGTCCATTAGCTGACGTGGCGCTCCAACATGAAACTAACATGTGGGTCTGCAGCACATAATTACATGAACGGTCCTTAAACTATCGTGTGACACCTAAGTCCCAAACTATAAATTTACTCATCTAGGTCCCTAATCTATCAAAGTGCTACAATTCCAGTCGAAAGGAACCTCTTCACTCTCCATCCATCGTGGTGTGGATTGCCAGATAGGCTTCTAAGCCTTTGCTTGTTATTGAACTTCTTGTCGATCGTCTGTTTGTCATCTTGGAGAGGTATGTCTTGACGCCATGTGTCACTGTGCCAGTACGCCATCTCAGGCAGTAAACAAACTTCAGAGAAATGCCTTAAGTCGAAATTCCCCTTTGAAAGTGCGCAGTTGCAAGTTGCAACCCACGTATTCGTCAGAATGATTCAATAGGGGACTCAATAGTCACTTGTTGCAGCCTGAAGACAAGACCCGGTTCCACAGTCCACACCCTGCAATGATTGACGACGACCGATATTTTGCCAGCGAAGAGTACGCACGATGAACAAAGCAAATAAAAGGCTACCTACTGTGAGTTATGTCTGGCACAACAGTATATATATCCACGCACGATGAACAAAGCAAATAAAAAGGTACCCACTGTGAGTTATGTCTGGCACAACACAACAATATATATCCATGCAAGGAAAGTAGAAATTTTTCATACTGATGATTTGTCACACTCAAAATATCGTTTTTCATTAGATACAAAACAGAATCTTGCCAACATCACACTGAAAATATTAGTAATAGTATACTACATGTTCAAACTTAAGTTATCAAGGCATAATTTTATTCCCGTTGCAACAGGACCGCAAGGATCTACGGGCTCAGCGGCCGCAGCTGCGTTGGACGCGGCGACGACTGCTGCCGATGCTCACGGCGAGGTGGAGGCCAACTCAGCTCCCATCCATGAACACAACTGTCCGCTCATCGCTGCCATCTCAAAGTGGTAAAAAGCCGAGGATCTTTAGGGACTGGTACAACTGGGTACACACGTCTCTAAAAAGTAATTTAACATGGATAACAGCACAACACACGTTTATATACTTATATTATCGTGACACTATATTTGGGTCACACGTTCATACTTAATTATAATATCGTGGTATTATATTTCCCATTGCAACGCACGATCGTTTACGTAGTTTGTTATTTTGAAGCACGGATGGAGGCACCGGTGTGGATGATGAAGTGTATGCACTCAGCTCAGCAGGCGCCACGCCTGAATCCCACGGCCTGGCCGCCGATGTCGTACAGCACCTCGAACGTTCTCTGCTGCACGTTACCGATGATTCCCGGGGAGGTGTCATCGTTGTGGGGAGCGAACGCGAGGCAGCCGTCGTTGACAATGATCCCCTTCCGGTCGAGCTCCATGGCGGCGCCCCGCTCGAACACTAGGGTAATGTTGGGCAGCTTGGCGTCGCTGACATCGCCGTCGAGGTTGAAGCAGGTGTCCAAGTTCTCCATTGGCGCCGCTCGCGGATACATCCTCATCTCCTTCCGGAATGCCGCACGCAGCGCGCGATAAGCCTCTGGTGGCAGCGTTGTGATCGGCGTACCCGAGTCCATGATCGCGCCCTTGGAGAACACCGACGTCGGTACGTCGAGGCGCCGCCCGGCCACGACGATGGCCTGCAGGACCACGATGTAGAACGTGGGGTGGTCGGAGTACGTGTACATGGGCGTCACCGCGAACCTCGAGGAGGAGACGCGCGGCACGCCGAGCGTCAGGAACCCCGAGTAGCTCGGTGACGGCGGGAGGCAGTAGGAGAAGGCTTTCTCCGCGGTCTGAGACACCAGCGAAGGTACCCCGCCACCGAGCCCCATGATCCCGTCGGTCCTGGCGTCGTCGTCGTTGGGCGTCTCCTCGGGGGGGTGTTGACAGCCGAACAGGAAGCCGTCGACGGCGTACGTGGGGGATAGCGTCAGCTTGTCGGAGCTGTACGTCCCCGTGCTGGAGTCGTTGCCGGCGTAGCTGATGGCGTACCGGCACAGGTTACGGGAGGAGCAGCCGCCGAAGAAATCGCTCCCTAGTCCCCGGCAGGCGGCGGAGCCACAGGGGACGGCTGAGTACGTCGCCGACCTCGCCGGGTCGAACATGGGGTCCTTCTGCTGGTGACATGGTGGGACAGGGCACGGGCGGCACTGCACCCACGTGATGTCGCTGCCGGTGTCGATGAACACGGTCTGTTTCACGGCAGGTGTGCCTAGTCCCATGGTGATGACGTACTCCAACGTGTCCAGGGAGGAGCCGAGGGTGACCGGCCGGACGGTCGCGGGGTGGCGCTCCACGGCGGAAGCACTGCCGTTCAAGACCCCTCTGATGCCCTTCTCGCGGAGTTGGTCTCGGCGAAGCACGTCGGCCGTCGACGGCATCCTTGCCGAGGCAGGAAGAGGCGAACAAGGGCCATGCCAGTGGTTCAGCGGCAGCCAAGCACGGCCGGAAACTGGTATACTCACTATATATATGGAATTTAAAAATCAAGAGAGCTGATGATCAGCTTGATTATTAATTTCTTACAGAAAACAAGATATATATAGTTTAAATCAACACACACACATACACACACACACACTAGGAAATTAATGATTTTTTCCTAAAGAAGAAAAGAAGTAAAATAATAATTAAATAATTAAACAAAAAGAAAAGAAAGAAACCTCTGTGGCCGGAGCAGACGGCTTTGGACTTGATCGACGACCTAGTTGCAGCTTCTGCTCCTGTGTCTTCTTTGTCCTGAACTCGTTCATGACCTCCAGCATGACCAATTGGAGAAGAAAGAGACAAGAGAAGTAGTAGCGTCAAAGTAGGAGTCATGGTTATTGTTTTTTTTTTTCAATTTTTGATCGAGCAACGTGTCTTAGTAGTTACGTAGTATTAGGCAATGCATGCTATGCTTGAAGCAAGCCTAAACTGCGTATATATAAGCACAAGAAACGGACGTGACGTGGAAAGTCTCATCTTTATCGGATTATATACTAGGTAATAGTTCACTCACTAAGAGAGAACGCAGATTTGCTGAGTGCCGCCAGCTTTGCCGAGTGCCAAAAATCGGGCACTCGGCGAAGCCACTCTTTGCCGAGTGCCGGACCAGGTGGCACTCGGCAAAGTCTAGCACTCGACAAAGAGTGGCTTTGCCGAGTGCCACAGAGTGCCCGGCACTCGGAAAAAGGCGGCACTAGGCAAAAGGCCTCTTTGCCGAGTGCAACACTCTGTAAAGAGTGGCACTCGGCAAAAAAAAATGGCACTTGACGGCCGAGCCCACCCACGCCGTCAAATTTAAAAAAAATTCTTTGTCGAGTGCCAGCCCTGGCACTCGGCAAAGAGGGCCTTTGCCGAGTGCCAAGGCCCCGCACTCGGTAAAGATCCTTTCTTTGCCGAGTGCCACTTCCTGTCACTCGGCAAAGAACCTCTTTGCCAAGTGCTAGGGCCGGCACTCGGCAAAATATTTTTTTTGTTTTTTATCCATTTTTTTGTGAGGCCTTCCCACATTATTTAAAACTCCATGTTTAAATTTGGGACAATTTTGACTTTTTTGCTATATTTTGTTAGTTTTTTTTGTTTCATTGAATTTTATGGAATATTTCAAATTTGAACCGCAGGTGCATGGAATAATCGAATTTGGTCATTCAAAAAATGATATTCATGATATTTGGTGTATGTTGAGGCCGTATCCAGGAACTCACATGAAATTTCGAGCATCTTGTTGATGTAACATGACGAGGTACCTACGGGAAAAGTGCATTTAAATTATATAAAATCTGAACGAAGTCCGAAAATGACGAAACTTGTCGGGGCGTCATGTTATCGCATGTAGAGTCTATGGTTTAGGCATGTAGAGTCCGAAAGTGATCGCATGTGGAGATGTCTGGGTTTTAGGCATCCGGCGTCGCAACTTGCTCGAAACCTTCTCAATTTTTTATCATAGACTCTACATGCGATAACACGACGCCCCGACAAGTTTCGTCATTTTTGGACTTTGTTTGGATTTTATATAATTTAAATACACTTTTCCCGCAGGTACCTCATCATGTTACGTCAACAAGATGCTCGAAATTTCATGTGAGTTCCTGGATACGGCCTCAACATACACCAAATATCATGAATATCATTTTTTGAACGACCAAATTTGATTATTCCATGCACCTGCAGTTCAAATTTGAAATATTCCATAAAATTCAATGAAACAAAAAAACTAATGAAATATAGCAAAAAAAGTCAAAATTGTCCCAAATTTGAACATGGAGTTTTAAATAATATATTAAGGCTGCAAAAAAATAATGGGGCAAAAAACAAAAAAAAATTGTCGAGTGCCAGGAAGTGGCACTCGACAAAGAATTTTTTTTAAAAAAACAAAAGCCTCTGCCGAGTATCGGCCCGGCCCAGCACTCGGCAAAGGGGGAAACCCTAACTAAATGTGTGGGCCGGCCCACACACTCACTCACTCCACACAACACACTCACGCACGCACACCCCCGAGGGCCGCTGTCACGCCCGCCATTGCCGCCCGCCGCCCGCCCTTGCCCGGCTCCACCCCGGCCCGACCCCACCGCCACATCCCCCCGACCACCCCGAACCTTGTGCCTCACGCCGCCATCGCATGCCGTGCCACCTGCCGCGCCGCCTTCCCCCCCGCCGGCCGGCCACCGGATCCGGGTGCCCGGCCGTGCTGTGCGCCAGCGGCGCCGCCTGCCCTGCCTTGCCCGCGCCTCGCAGCGCTGCCGCCCGCCCCCTGCCCCACCAGTCGGCCTCGGCCCGGCCACCGGCCTGTCACGCCTCGGCTGCTCGGTGCCCAGCAAGTGTGGCCAGCCTACCATCGCACTGCCCGCCGCCGTTTGCCAAAGCAGCAGCCTGGCGAGCCTGGCTGTGACCTGGAGGAAGGAGGAAGAAGGTAGCAGGAAGAGGAAGGAGGAAGAAGATGGAGGAAGAAAAAGGAAGAAGAAGAAGAAGAAGGAAGAAAAAGGAGGAGGAAGAAGGAGAAGAAGAAGGAAGAAGAAGAAGGAAGAAAAATGAGGAGGAAGAAGGAGAAGAAAAAGGAAGAAGGAGGAGGAAGGAGGAAGAAGAAGGAGGAGGAGAAGGGGAGAGGGGGAGGAAGCCGAGGTGGAGGGGACGAACGTTCGTCCATGTCGTCCACGCCGTTCGTCCATGTTGTCCACGTCGTTCGTCCAAGCCGTCATCCCCGCCCTCACCGGAGGAGAAGGTAAAGCCAAAGGGTTGTCGTCCATCGCGCCGTTTATGTCGTTGACGGCCTTCGTGCCGGGTTTGTGGTTGTGTTGGCCATCGTGCCCCAAATGTGGACGTCAGCCATCGTGCCGACGGTTTTTCTTGTAGGTTTTGGAAACCTCCCGTGCAGGGGAGGTTCTGCCAAAATTTTCAACTTTTAGTGATGTTTTTCTTCTTTTGCAGAGCAGGACCTGTCGGAGGGGACCCGGAGCACCTCACGCGACCCTGATCATCTTCGTCGACGTTGCGGTCCTGCCTACACAGCGCCGACTCGCCACTACACCGACTCGCCATTGCGCCGCTAGCCTGTCTCCACCTCCACCCTAGGTATAATTGAGCTCTCTTCCTTACCGTTGTAGTACGTAGATCGGTGTAGCCCAGTTAGGCATCTCCCATCCAAAACAAATACGGTTGGAGGTATGCGGATCTCTGCATATCTATGACCGTATCTGTTTTGGATTGTCTACGTTTTTTGGACAGCCCGCGGATGCGTAAATGGGTTAGTTTCCATGTTTTGCTCGGATCCAAGACGAAGTTAGTTGATGTGTCGGCCTTTGTGCCGGAAATGTGGTTGTCGGCCTTCGTGCCGACGTTTTTCTTGCAGGTTTTGAAAATGTCCCCGTGCAGGGGAGGTGCTGCCGAAATTTTCAACTTTTCTTTAAACTCCTTACATTTTTATCTTGTCACTCACGTGCAATATCTTCTTTTTTGTGCAGCAGACATCGGGGGCGGCGTCGAACCAGGTCGGAGGGTCGCTGGCATCTTAAGTCATGCCATCTCGCACCGGATCGTCGGGATCAAGACGCTGAAAGCGCTTGATCGCCGTGAGCCGCTTGAGGAGTAGTTTCTATGTATCGAACTTGTGAACTTGTGGACTATGAACTTGTGGTTTGTAATAAATTATGGATTTCGGACAAATTTGGTCGTTTGTAATATATAAATGTGGTTTGTAATTTATTGATGTTGAATCGTGGTTTCTATTATATATATATGCATTGTTGTTTAAATGGAAAAGCAAAAAAAAAAAAAAAGAAATTTAGAGGTGACTTTGCCGACTGCAATGACCATTGCACTCGGCAAAGAAAATTTTAAAAAAATAAAAAAACACGCTTTCCGAGTGCAATGGTCATTGCACTCGACAAAGAAAATTTAAAATAAAAAATAAAAAACACCCTTTGCCGAGTGCCGGTGCTGTGGCACTCGGCAAAGAGGTTTAAAAAATAGATTTCTTTGCCGAGTGCCGGAGCCGTGGCACTCGGCAAAGAGTTTAAAAAAAATTAGACGGCGTCGGCCGTCGGCCGACGGAGTCAAATCTTTGCCGAGTGCCCACACGGCACTCGGAAAAGCCTTTGCCGAGTGCCCGAAATTTGACACTCGGCAAAGCAGCCTTTACCGGAAGGGTATTCGACGGAGGGTCCACTCGGCAAAGGCTTTGTCGAGTGCAAAGCTGCCTTTGCCGAGTGCAACAGGCACTCGGCAAAGAGCCCGCCTCCGGTAGTGACTATATATACCACTTACTAAAACACATATCATTGGCTTCTCTTCTTTTTTATATATAAAAAAACTTTGGAGGCCTGTGTCCAGCTAGCAATACAAAGCATATGGTAGATGTTTGATAAATATATTTGACGACATTTAAAAATATATATTTGTTTTCCCCTGACATACCTAATTGTTTTGGTTGTTTTGATTTTTTTTATATCAAACTTGCTATGTATCTAGACATAATGTATATCTAGATACATAGCAAATTCGATGTACCAAAAAAGTCAAAGTGATTTATAATTTGGAACGGAGGGAGTAACTATTTTTGGTGTCATGTACCTGATAATCAGAAGCATAACCAGCCATGGACAATATTGTTTCCGGTAGAGGCGACTATAACTATATTTTTCCACATCATTCAGAATCAGTACGCACTTTTCTTGTGTGATTATATATAAAACTAGCACTAGGTTCCTTGGTCCCCACCCCTCGTGTTGGGTCCATCTTCACTTTTCCTTTTAATTTTCCTGCGAATGTACACACCATCAATGATGCTCCAATGCTAGAAAAGTGACCAAGGATGCTATATATTTTGTCTTCGAGTAATTAGAAAGGAGGCATTTTGCGAGTGAACTAATTAGGTAGTGCAGGCCAAACATATGATATGTGT